TACTGACGCCCTTCACTGACCACTGCTGCACACTGAGATACCGACGCCCTTCACTGACCACTGCTGCACACTGGGGTACCGACGCCCTTCACTGACCACTGCTGCACCCTGGGATACCGACACACTTCACTGACAGCTGCTGCACCCTGGGAAACCGACACACAGTGTGTCCATACCAGTACCTGTGCTGAGACAAGTTTTTTAATTAGTATAACTCGTTGATTTATATTTTACTGAGTTGCAATGTGCTTGCCTGGGAAGTGAACCCACAACCGTCTGGTCAGGAGTCCAGATCCTTAGCCACTGTACCCAGTCGCCCCGATATCCGGTGTATGGAACTGGGATCCCTCGCCCCTCACACCCCCTCTCCCTCCTTTCTCCTTGCAGCCAAACTGCTATGCGAAGGTGATCACGCTGGAGTCGCAGAAGAAGATTGTCATCTACTCCAAGCAGCCCATTGGCATCAACGAGGAGATCACCTACGACTACAAGTTCCCCATCGAGGAGAACAAAATCCCCTGTCTGTGCGGGACGGAGAACTGCCGGGGCACGCTCAACTAGAGGGGCCGCACCGCAACTCATGTCCCGTTCGTGCTGCGCCCCCAGTTTCAGTCCTCTTCCCTGCGATCTTCACCCTGCAAGACACCTCCAGGACCCACGAGCTGTTCCCAGCCGTACAACTCCAGGCCCCACATGCCCTGCCCCAAAATACAGCTCCAATATCTACGTGCTGTGCCCTAAAATACCCTTCCAATGCCCACATGCTGTTCCCCAAAATACAGCCCCAGTTCCTAGATGCTGTTCCCCAAAATACAGCTCCAGTATTCACATTGTACCTTAAAATACAGTTCCGGTACCCACACATTGTACCCCCAATACAACTCCAGTACACATGATCCACACCCCAAAATACAGCTCCGGTACACACATGCTGTACCCCAAAATACAGCTCCGGTACACGAATGCTGTGCCCCAAAATACAGCTCAAGTATCCACAATCTGCACTCCAAAATACAGCTCCAAAACACAAATGCTGTGTCCCAAAATACAGCTCCAGTTCCCAGATGCCTTACCCCACAATACAGTTTTGGTACCCCCACTCTGTACCCTAAAATACAGTTCTGATACCCACACATTGTACCCCCAATACAACTTCAGTACCCATGATCTGCACCCGAAAATACAGCTCCAGTACCCCATGCTGTACCCCAAAATACAGCTGAAGTATCCACGATCTGCACTCCAAAATACAACTCCAATACCCAAGTGCTATGCCTCAACATACAGCTCTGGTACCCACACGCTGCACCCCAAAATACCACTCCACTACACACACTGTACCCCCCACTACAGCTCCAGGACCCATGAGTTGTACTTCACAATACAGCTCCAGTGGCCACTCTGTATCCCAAAATACAGTTCCAGTACCCACACGCTGTACCCCAGAATACTGTTCCAGTACCCACGTGCTGACACCCACCCCTCAGGGGAGTGCTGTATTTTAGGGTGCACCTGCTGTAAACCATGTCTCCCAGAACTAACAACACTGACTCCCCTCACGCCTGGCACTCGGGAATGCTGACTCCCCTCACGCCTGGCGTTTGGGACGCTGACTCCCCTCACGCCTGGCTCACATGACCATGGGAGCCTGGAACCACGGTCCACATACCCCTGAAGGGCAGTCATTCATTCTCCATAGGAAAGCTGGGCCAGATTCTCCTGCAAAGTACGTAGGTCTTTTACAGAAGCATGAAGGCTTGAGGGCTGTTAGGCTCTAGGCCGAGCCGCCCCTGATTTCCTCAATGAAGGACTGTGAGTGGCGTTACACAGGCGCACAAGCTCAGCGCTGTACAGAAGTGTCCGATCAGAGTTCAGACAGACAGCTTGCTTGCCCCCGAGTGTCCCACAGGCCCCTGCGCAGTGTTTAAAGAGGCCACTCTATAAAAGCATGGAGCTGAAAGGTGTAGGGGTGGGGGAGGGGTGTCTCCCGCACTCTGAGAACAGCTGGTGAAGGGTCTGAAGAGAGAGCCTGCCCATACTGGAGTTTGGAGAAAATAACAGTTTCCCTTGATTCTTGCCAACAGCACTTACTTAAAATTTCAGAGCCTAGCCGCTCAGTTTCAGGAATGAAAACTCTTAGCACTTTATCGCCCTATATAAAACATTTTTAGGGGGAACACAAAAACGTCATGCCTATATGATCATTCAAAGTCTCATTTTTGAATTGGGCTTAACTTCCCTGTACAGGTGAATTATAGAGCCAGAATCGTGCCTGCAGTTCTTACATTGCACGCCAGGGGGCAGCGCTGTATCAAGCTGGCTGTTGCTTCTTTGCTTTGCTGTGTTACAACATTAATTCCATTGAAATCTAAACTGGGGATCTCCAGCCCAGGTTCTTGAGAGAGCCTTATTCCAGTTACTCAGCTTTTACTTAAGGTCAGGTGCACCTGTACATTCCTGATGAATTAAACAAGCGATCTATTCGATTCAGAAGGGCCTGCGGTCCCACATGATCTTTAAATTGCTCCACTTGGCACCTCCTGCTTGACTGATGGCGGTGGTTGTGATGGAGCCTTCAGAGGTGAATTATACACCCAGCTGGTCCTGGGGCTCCCCAGCACCAGGGTTGGAGACCCAAATCCTGAATTCGCAGTCCCACAGTCAGGAATCTCACACTGGGATGATGCTCCTTACTCCTGGTCACGGAGGGCTTTTTTTGCCCGAGCTCTTGGCCACGTCGGCTGAGTCGGCTGTCGAGTGCGCTGGTCTGGTCTCGGGTGCAGTGCCTCAGTCACAGAGGTGAAGCCTGGGCTCCTTATACACCCTCGTCTCGGGAGGGTCACTGCTTCAGAGATCCTTTGCCTTGCTTGACACCTTGTTTGAGAGTACAGGATAGCCTCAGCTTCCAGTCCTGGCTATCCACTCCCTGACCAAAAGACCGTTTTATACCGTAGTGGTTGTAATGGCAGGTGCCTGCCTCTCGGCGAGCTCGCCAATGTGTCCCGAAGATCGGTGGCCAGCCCGCACGAGCCTCAGTCATCTTCAGATCCAGCGACGTGCTCAAAGCGCACAGTGTCAGCCCTGTGTCTGCCAGGGCAAAGTTACCCTGACAGAAAGTCCCCTTGGTCCTGTCTCCGTCTGCCTGCCACTGCCTCTGGCTCAGATCCATTTACAGGCCTGGCTTGGCCACTGGGTCAGCGGGCCGCAGCTGGTCCCTGGGCCTGCAGCGCAGAGCGGGCAGAGATCACCAGAACCCCTGACCCCCCCTTGCCCAAATCACCACTTCAAGTGAAATGTTCTCTCCGATTACCTTTGGAAGTGTTAAAGGGTTGATGGGGTCTGGGCCCCTGAAGGTCAGAGGTCACGCTAGGGTATGAGGGCGTGTCTGTTCTCAGAGGGGACCAGTGGGTTAGCTGCTTTCCTGCAAGGCAGGATGGGATAGGAAGGCCCCCCCGGCAGCGGCGGTCCCCTTGCATGGGTGGCAGTCGGTGTGGTTAAGGACACACTGTTCACAAGCTGGGCAGCGGGGTCTGGGAGAGAGAGGGTGGGGGTGGTGGTGGCTGTTCGAGGGGAACTTCCTGACCCCTTTAGGGGTTTCGCTGAAGTGGGCAGCCATACTTCCACTCGTCCGAATTGACGGGGGGGAGGTGGGCTAACAGCGACCTTGTTCGGACCGGGTCAGGCTCTGCACCATGTGAGGGGTACTGACAGAGCTCTCCCCCTCATAGCATGGGGATCTGGCCCGCCTGAGCAATGGACAGTCAGGCCAGGGGTCCGGGGGTGGGAGGGTGGGGGGAGTCGGGCTGTCAGCATTGATTCTGTCCTGTGTTCATACTTGTAAAATATTTAAAAATTCAAAAGGAGCTTTTCAGTGCAAAGGAAGCAGACGAGCTGTACATATTGTAGATGTGGCTGTTTCTTGTAGAAACACGCGTTATTGCTCTGTAAATACGTTCTGTTCTTTCCTACTTCAAAAGTGTACATAAGTTTCCATTGTTTTTTTCGTTTTAATTTTATTTTTTTTTCTCTTGTATTAATGCGTTCAACCCTTTATTAATGGTGCATTAAAATATTTTTTAAAAAAAGGTGAAAACAGTGTGTGTTTTCTGTTCATTTAAAAGGCCCTTGCATTCCCACAGTCCCTGCGCCCCCCCTCCCAGGAGCCCCTGTCCCACAGTCCCTGCACCCCCCCTCCCAGGAGCCCCTGTCCCACAGTCCCTGCACCCCCCCTCCCAGGAGCCCCTGTCCTGCTGTCCCTGCACCCCCTCTCCCAGGAGCAGTGAACCAAACATGCACAAGGTTCCTAATATTGTGGACAGAAAGGAACCCTGTGGAAGCAGGGTTTAGCCCAGCCAGCGCGGGTGTTGACCGGCCAGTCAGTGGTCCAGGTGTCCAGGAGAAGTGTGATCTTGAGCACGTGGCTCCAGGGAGACGCAGGCCTGGTGTCGAGGGGTCCAATGGCGACTGGGGGACTCTGCAGCACTGAGGAAGAGGTAACTATTGCGATACTCCACACATTTTCACAATGCAGACATGTCGTTTCGCCACATCCTGATCACCACAGTGGCATTAACAGTGTCTCGTATTGTAACCACTTCTGTTTCTCTCATTTGTCTTTTGTCTTCTCTCTTCTCACGGTTTGGAGGGGGCCTTCTTTCTCACACTGACAGGCACAGAAGGCTCAGCTTTACTGTATTACTGAAGAACACTGGAGCTGTTCATGAGAACACAAGACTGTCGTCATCACTGAACAACACTGGAGCAGTTCATGAGAACACAAGACTGTCCACATCACTGAAGAACACAAGTCTATTCATGAGAACACAGGACTGTCCTCATCACTGAAGAACATGAGTATATTCATGAGAACACATGACTGTCCTCATCACTGAAGAACACAAGTATGTTCGTGAGAACACGACTGTCCTCATCACTGAAGAACACTGGAGCAGTTCATGAGAACATAGGACTGGATAAGTGGTTGTTGCAAATAATACAGTCGTATTTGTAACACAGCTTGTTCTCCTCTTTCCAGGTGATAAGATTTTATTGTCCCCTGAGGGAAATGCTTTATGGACACACAGCACTCCTGTACATTTAACGAAAAACATTGCACATTATACTATTACAAGAAATAAGAAAAACTTTGCACATCATTCTATTGCACATGTACAGTATAACACATAACAACATGTAACATTTATGATACATCACAAAACATATTGCACTCAAGTGGGTTGTAAGAGTCAAAATTGTGTTTATCCTTGACATTTGTGTTGACAGCTTTAATGGATAGTGGAACAAAGGAATGTTTGTATCTGTTTGACTTATATTTGGGAACCCTAAAACGTTTGCCAGAAGGAAGAAGTTGATATTCATAGTTGAGGATTTGGGAAGGATCTGATATAATTTTTCCTGCCTGTTTGATTATGGATTTTTCAAAGATTGTCCCCAGTGAAGGTTGCTGTTTAACTCCCATGGCCTTCAAAGCTGTCTGGATGAGACGGGTAATTTGTGATTTTAAATGAACTGATAGATTACCAAACCACACTGTAATACCGTATCTGATAATGCTCTCGATTACAGCATGGTAAAAGAGTAGCCTTACTTCCTGTCGAACCCCAAACACTCTTAGTCTTCGCAGGAACTATAAGCGCTGCTGACCTTTGGAGCAAACACTCTCAACGTGAGGAGTCCAGCACAGGTTACTGTCGGTGTCTACTCCTAGGTGCTCCAAAAGGTCACGAACTCTCTCTGCCAGCACTGCACACAGAAGGTGTCTGTCTCTGCTCCTCAGCAGGCACAGAACAGGCACACAGCTTCACCCAGTTTAGAACGGACCCCTGTGGAGATTAAGCCAGAGAGGGGTTTTTCAATCCAGTTAGCAGAAAGACAACCTCATGCCAGATAGTTTCTGTTACACCTGTGTGCACTGGGGAAGGGTAGGTGTGACATCACAGGTCCTGGAGTGACCAATCACAGTGCAGCAGGCTGGCCTCTGGCCTTTGAGTGGCCTAGTTTTTCAGTCCCCAGGGTGAGGAATTGCAGAAGACAAGCACTGCAGAGAAGGGAATACAGTAATTAATGACCAGACAGCCGCCCCCCCCGGTGGACAGCTCAGTTATTGTCTCACTGACCTACTTCTTTCCTTCGCCCGACTGCCAGAACCATCTCCGCACAGCACAGCTTTTCCAGCTCTGAGAAGTTGCCCCCCCCTACAGACAGCACAAACGATGAAACCCACCTCCGGTTTGTGCCGTTGAAAGGAGTTTTTGTGCTGCTCTCGTTCCCGAGATATAGCACCTTGTATTTCTGGTGATCACGTGACCACACACAGTGACTTTGACCTCCAGTGACCCCGTCTGCCGAGTTCAAGCGCTGTGCCGCTGGTGCGAGAGGAACAGTTCTGTAATTGTGTTCCTCTGTTTGCCCGGGTGGGGGGGCGGCGGGGGATTTTGCATTTAAAATCAGTATCTTCTGTGCGTTTGGAAGTGACCAGTTTCTCTGTCTCCTTCTTAAATAAACACAGGCATCAAGGGACGTGTGAAGATTGAACTCGCAAGATTCTTCTTGACTGAAGAAACCCAGTCTAGGAAAATCTGCCAGCTGGCAGATTGGGTACTGGTCCCATTACCCTGCCCTCCCTGGAGTCTTGCCTTCCTGTGCAACGTGCTTGTACGACACACTCACACCAGGGCCAGGGCCAGTTCTCCCAGAAGCCAA